TTTGATATGGCTAGATTTCAGGAAAAATTTCCAGTGTAAACAGTGGAGAGGCCTGGAAATTACTGTTATGCTTCACACCGTTTCTTTTACAATGGCTAAGCTACTCACCAACACTCATTTGAAGGTAAAGCTACTCTAACGTTCTCTGTCTCAAATTTGAGTGATTCTTTGTAAAAGTTTGCCCAGGACTTTACTGGATTTTCCTATCTAACAAAACAAGATATCAGACAAATAAAAATCATGCACATAATACACTGGAAAAATAGCAAGCTAATACAAGCGATTTCATCAGTGGGGTTAAATATATCCCTCTATATCTCAGCACGCAACACCCTGGGAAGCAGGAAGTGTGCAGAATGGAAATACTACAGAATCATCACTCCAAATGAAAAGGCTACTATTTCCAAAGAGAGTGCTCAGAGTGAGACGGTGTTCCTTCTGGGAAGAGCAACTGTCATAAACTACAGGTGCAACCAATTTATGTTTTGGTAATTTGACAGGCTCAGCAACCTAATTTAATCATTTCATTCAGAAATAGGATAAATCACAGAGTTGAATGTAAACATTAAATCAGTATAATTCACACTTGTTATAGTGTTCCTCATTTCAGATACATTTTGACTGAAATTAAGCCATTCTTTCCATCAGAACTGCTCAACTGAATTGCAGTCATGAACAGCCATGATAGTGTAAGAAGGAACCAGTCAAAGAAACCTGATTGGTGAGTAGAGGAATTAGAGTACTTGCTTGTTACTCAGCAATACCTGAATTTGAATCCTGATTACATCACGCTGAGGACCAAACGGAGTGACCTACATTCCCACGGATTCTTATGTTCTTACCATCAGAGATGGCTCAAGTTGGGCACTGCAACTGGTCCTTGTTCAACAGCCAAGCAATGCTTGTATAAGGGCTACTTCTCCATCCCCTAAGACATCCTGCTATTCATTTTTCACGAAAGCTGGACACTGAACATCTGTAGGCTTGTGTTCAGGTGCATGCTTTTAGCACATGTGAAATTTTGAGGGCTACATCCACAGGTGACATAATTAAGCATAATTTAGTTATCTCAGTTGCAACAAAGCTGTTTTTTTACCAGATAAAGATCCAGCATTCAAATTGTAGTGGAAATGACTGTTTATCTTTAAATTATGTTATGGATCAGCAACACTATGACAACAGAAAGTTCATATAAACTCACAAGTCTTACCTCAGATGCTAAGTTACCTGCCTAAGTTTTTGCAGGATTAGAGCAACTCATCCCCACTTAATAGCCACAGCTGGCAAATAGAGCCCCCCAGACATACAGAATCCAAAGAGAATACCTAAGATACCAAGGCAAAGGCATTTAAATATTTTTCTTTTATTTTCTTCCTTCAATATCTGCGGTGATATTTATCCATTTGAATGAATTTATACAGAAGTGCCTCAGTAATACCTGACCTACACATTCTCTGAGGAAGTCAGAGAGCTAACAAATGAGCTAAGGAAACAATATAAAAAGCATATGAGGCCATTTCCTACTTTAAAATAAATGTTATCTTTGGTATGCTATTTGATAATTATTAACAAATTATGTGAAGGAACATAAAATAGCTGCTAGTGAAATTCTACCTGCTGACAATTATAAATGACAGAAAATAACTTAAGTAGCTTAATTCCAGGAGTATGGAATGGAAAACCCCAGGGAAAACTGCATTTTTTCTTTTGCCACTCCTCCTGTTTGGATCTGTGCAGCCATGTGCAGCGTACAACAAATCACAGAGCACCACACTTCCACGTGCAGGAAGTTTTTGCCATAATCTACAGAATGGAGTTTTCAAGAATTTTTTCTATAGAACGAAAGGGTTTCTCCTTGCACAAAGAAAATTTTAGCCTACAATTACCAGATTATTACTAACACATGTATCTCAGGTTATTTTTTAGCTGAGAAAACTGTGTTGTATTTAAAGTATTCATTACTCATTGCCACCCTGAATTGAAAACAGGGTTGGTTCATTCTGATCTTTCTGTCTACCGTTTTACTTTGGATGAACTCAGTTTGCTTCACTGGTGTAATGAGAGACTGTACCAGAGTAAGTGAGTTCAAATTAAGGTCTTCCTCCTCTTCTAAAAATTTAGCACTGCACTGAATTTATAGACCATGGAATGGTCCATCTGTGAAGGTTACAGAGTCCTTCCATGTCAGCCGCTGCTTTTTGGGTACAGAAGCTGCTACAGAAGGCTGCTACAGATTAAGCCTCCAACACTGGTTGATCTCCTAACAAAACAGGAAAGACTTGTCCTGATGCAAGGGCAAGCATTGCTTATCTGAAAATATGAGGCTTCCAGCAGATGCGTTTGGTTTCTATTCTTTTGAAGGCTTCTTAAGAGCCCTAACTGGCAGTATATGCTCAAAATATTTTCTGAATCAGCATCCTGTGACCAAACGGAAAACAGCATGCCTTACATTAGGGCTACTCCAGTAGTTTATTGGTACTTGTCCATAGGCAGCCTGTAATTCCTTCTGTCATGACATTCTGTGATTCTGTGATTCTCTTCCTAATAAGCACGAATATGGGCTCTAAGACACTATAATGCTTCTGTAATGTGAGGGAGTCAGTCAACTCACTGTTTATAGGCATGGCTGAAAAATAAACTCTGTTTCTCCCTGCTAATACGCTTAATAAAACATGATTTGTCACATCAATTTAAAAAAATGCACTCAGGGCTTTCCTACCTCCATGCGAAATGACCTTTTTGTAAGGTTCAATGACTTTCATATCAATCCTTTGCTCTTGTTCTCCAATAACCACTGTTCTCCATAACCTATTGTCCTCTCGCTCCTCCTCAGCGGTGTATTCTGGAATTGATTCAGACTCCTCCTGGGAAGCATCCTTAATGGCTGTCTGGTCTTCTGAAAAATAAAATTGTATATATTACAGCTTCATTCTCTATATTTTCTGTTACATAGATTTTAAGTAGATAACTGAAATGAACTGGCTTTTTAGAGCACTATTCTGGATCTGCACTGTTACAAAATAAGAGCAGAATTTGATCATGTAATAGTAAATGAAAAATCTCTTAAAAGAAAAAAAAAAGAAAAACTTTTCATCATTATGAACATAATAACAACAGTAGCAAACATAACCATGCAGAATACTGCCCAAGGATTTCTGCATTTTGCAGGTAATCATGCAAGACTCACCAGGTTAGTACAACTGATTGGCTACTGCATTGCAGCTCTTTAAAAACTTTTGTTTTGCTGATATGGTAACTATACTAAAATGCCCAATATGGAGCTAAAAATGAACAAAATGATCCTTCTTGTCTAGTGAGAAACTACCCAAAACCTACAGCTTTTCAATTCCTTCCTCCCTGCCCTAACTTCTATTCTCCAGTCTCTTCAACTCTGGTACCACCAAGGTGAAGAACATGCCATGTTCATCTGTTCCAGCAATGGGGTATGCTTAAACATACGTCACATAACTTAAAAAACACAGCATTCACCTCCCTCTGGGCCTTTCGGCTGTGCTTAAATTTAATTTCCTTCCCAGATCCAAAGTACAGAGCATCCAAGCAATTTGGCTACTCACACCAGCATACATGAGGGAACAGGTACTGGCAGTGCACAACCCCAATGACCACAATCAATAAACTGCATGACTCTTAAGAGACTATAAAGTCTCACAGTACAGGCTCTCTGCTGGACACTCTTAGCTTCAGAAAAGCTGTAAAGTTATTAACAAAACCTACATTTTCATTGCACATTGATGAGACAGCAGTTACAACATGTTTTATTGCGTGCCACTTTATCAAACTTTATGGCTGGTTATAGAAAAAGTGACATGAAGAATGATTCTGTCCACAGCTTGAATTACTTCATTGTCTTTTTCAGATACTGAACACAACATTCTGTTTTTTTTGTGAATTTTTTTAACTGCCTTTTGTACTACTATTCTTGCTGGAGCACCCTCGCCTTGTGGTTAAGTTCACATACTATTATTATATCTTGATTGTAAAGATCCTACACATTTTCTCTATTATATATATTTGAAGCAACCAGTGAAATCCACTGTTCATTACTCAGGACCTGCAAGGATATAAATAACAGCAGAATTTGATCATGTAACAGTCAATAAATGAGGTAAAACGTGTGCATGGCATACACACACGTGCATGGCATACACAGAAAGCAGATCAGATACGTTAGTTAAAAATACCGAAGAGAGCTATAAGAAGAGTTAGGAAAAAATGAAAGAAAAGATTTCGATTGGCAAAAAGAAGTAAAGAATGCGCTATGTTTGTAGAAGCCCTCAAGTATTTCAATATATTGCGTTATATCCTGAGATTCCTCTGCTCTGATTAATGCTCTTTCTAGAACTACTTGCATGAATAGAGGTATATGATCAATAAAACATTCAAGTTTATCATACAAATTAAATTATTCATCTGTATGAAACCAGGAATAGATGTGTATATTGTGTATGTATTATACAAGCACAAAGCCTACATGTACATACCTACATACATGCACTGTTTATAATACATAAAACTGGTTCCAATGCCAAAAGTTACCAATATTTCCACTGAATTTCTCATAAATATCAAGCTTGTCAGACCTTTTCTTTTGTAAATACCTATTAGGTTGAGCACACACTTGCTTTTTGGTTCAGATATCAAGGTCAAAAACACCTTCAAGAACCAACATGCCTGAAGAAGGAAAACCATTCAACTATCTCTGATGCAATCTCAGAAAATGCCTGCAAGACTCATAAAACAGCAACAAACAGAAAACAGGAATGGGGAAGAGAAAATGGGAGAGGAAACAAGTGGTTCTGTGACAGTAGGGCTAATGAGGTCTGATTTTCACTGCCTTCTGTCTTGTGGTTGCCTTCTCCTAATAAGAGCTAAATTCTGATGAAAAGTCCCTCTCTCCCAGGTGAATTACCCGATGTGTAACAACAGCTGAACTCATCACTGATTTTCTTTTTTTTTTTCCTAATGCCTCTCTGCAGGAAACTCATAAGAATGTACTTATATTTCAGCTCTTACTTCGCTGTCAAATTTGAATGAAATCAGCCAATGAGTAAAAAATGTACCTAGTGTCAAGATGTATTAATGGTGGAAATTGGGATGGAAGGAAAAGACAGGCCAACATGCATATACACATGCCTATATTACATGGCCACATAAGCCTTTCTTCCTTAGGAATTGCAGATAAAAGGAAAGCTGGAGGAGACAGAAGGTTGTGAATAACAGATTGCAAAGGGTAAATTTTTTTTTTTCCAGGTATACTATTTCAAAGCAGTTTAACAGCTGCTGTTCAATAGATTATATACTGTGCAACTGAGGTAGGCATTCATGTGTTCTCAGGGTACAATGCTATTTTGATATTTAATAATATATAATTGGCATTTGCTTTTGAAATATAACATATTCAGTGATGTTGGGAATGACCATTACAAAACTTATTTAAAAAAAAAAACTAAATATCTTAATGCAATTCTGTATAAAATTAATCTTGCAATATACCGTGGGAAAAAAATGAAAATGGCATGCAAGCAATTGGAGTATGCAAACTTTGACAAGTTCTCACAAAATCGCCTGTTCCTTTAAGGATATATGGTCCTCATAGGATTCTATTACACAGCTCAAGTGCTTTCAGAACAGATACATGGATTTGATAAAAGGGATTATTAGAGCAGCCTAGGAAAATTATCTAGTCAGTCAGTTCCTTTGAGGGTTGAAAGAGTACAGTTGAGGGAGAGAACTACAGCAGGCACAAGAGCTTTAGTGAAAAGCGCCTTGGCTGGGTAACTGTCAGACTAAATTCTCTTTGGGGGGTTGTTGCTCAAGTTTGTTGATGCAACTGCAAATGATATTCTAGAATAAGTCCCTGAGAAAACTTATGATGTTGAATTATTTTTGAAGCTGACAAAGGGCAGAAATGATACTAGATCACCTTCTCCTAAGAAGAGGCTATGCTGCACTGCCTGGAAGGTTGATGTTGCAGAGAAGGATGCACCAGCCTGAAATTCAGAAGGGAAACAAGCATCTGCAGATAAAATGATTAGACTTTTTACTTTCCGAATAAGATTGATTTGAAGGGGGAGCGGGGACTTCACCTATAGGTATATATGGTTTTCATAAATACAATTTTTCTTGTCATCTAATGCAATAATCAAGAAACGCTCACTTTAGAAAAATGAGCTGGTTGTGAAAGAGAATGTTTCAATTTCAGGTATTAGTATATGCCATCGTGACAAAATAATAAGGTGATGACTCAGGGTGCTAGTTTAAGATAAGTACTTCAGTATTTCCACTCTCACCAATTTTCTTGCACCTTGTAGTTGTGCTGGTTCTTCATCACCATTCTTTTAAATTAGTAGGTTTCAGTATTTTTTGATTTACGGAGCCATCAGTTTTCCAGTGATAAGGCTGACTCTTGAATCGTGGCAAGGATCTTGCTTTTCACAGTTGCTTTTTACAGTTCAAATGGACCTTCTGTAGTCTGAGGCTCACATGCTAAAAATCACCGTTCTGTACAGTTTTCAGCAGCAATGTATTTACTTCACTGCGTGCAGCATAGCACTCCAGAAACACTGACCTGTGGGAGATTATGGGAGTGCTTGCATACTGGCAACAGTAGAGTGATAGAAGTAGGGAGATAGCACAGGCCAACTTACCATGCACATAAACCATTCTGCACTTGTCCTTGTGACTACACTTGTCCTTGTGACTATCAGATCCACATAATATATAGCCTCACTTTATTGCCAACGTACTTTGATAAAGTATGATTTTTCTCCTTTTCTACTTTCTGTTGCTGGCTCACTTAAGTAGAGGACTTTTTGCCCACTAAGGGTGTTTCAAGACTAATCTAAGACTTAACTGTAAAAAGGTCACAGAGAACACAGGCACCCTGAACTCTTTTTCTTTTAGGAGTCTGGGAAATTAGTCCAATTTTAGCAATCAAATGAAGCATCACATTTAGAAAGCAACACATAAAGATGGGGCGAAATGCTTGCCATAAATGCAATTGCTACCAAAATCACTGGAGCTGAATTTACTTGCTTCAGGGCTTAGAGGCAAAAACCTGTTCCACTGCAGAGATTTTTGCTGTCATACAACAGTCACAACGTTCTAAAATTGCAAGCACACACTACTCTGTGCGTGCATGTGTGCGTGTGGGTTAGTTATAACCTTTGCTACAAAATATTCCTACCATCTAGTAACTCATCATCATGCTCTGCATCTGCCCATAAGGAACTGTGCCTTCTAATGAGAAGTGACATTAGAGATGCTTATGCATGATTGAGTATACAATAATGCCTCTTTAGCAATGCAACTGTTCTTGTATGCTCAAAAGATCGTACAATTTTTAATTTATAATGACCTCACTAGCAATAGAGAATTTCATTAGCAATAGAGAATTTGAATACAAAGGAAAATTCAGTTTAAATGTATCAATTTTTATGCTTCTCCCTGTTATAGACTATAAAATAGTCACACTCATTTTTCACACAATATAATCTTTACGTATTTACAGTAGTCAATACAATTCCTATACAGTCCTTCAGTTACTAGCAAGAAATGAGTATTATTACCTTATTTCATTCATCATGAGGCTAAATTAATCAAATACAACAGCGCAAGACACTTATACATAACATGAGAGAAAATCATTGCCTGAAGGTTAAGATGCCAAGGGAGAGCAAAGCATCTGTGGCTCTTCCTAAACAAGGTAAGTTACATACTTCAAGGTTTATCTGTACCATGCAAGTAGCCCTGCTAACAGGGATATTTAATTTGGTGGAACGCTGCATTATTTTGTTCCATGATCTGAGCTACCTGGGTCATACCACGCAGACATACCTTCCACGTCTCAGCTGTCCAGCCATACATGGGAATAACAAGACACTTTTCACACCAAGCTGTGTCCACTTCGTTTATATACTGCAAGCTCTTTGGTGCAATTTTTGTCCAGGCGGCTGGGTGCAAAACCCAACTGGGTCATTTAGTCATCATTACAAAAAATGAATAGTATACAAATAGCACCTGAACTTCAGAATATTACTAATCAGTATAATACAACTACATTCTGGTAAACTTCAAAGCAAAATCTAGAGAAATAATTGCAAGAGATACTTTGGGATAAGATTTTCCAGTTCTGCCCATATATTTTGTACAGCATTATTATCCCAAAATTCTACTGTTGTAATTGTAACCTACAGCTGGTAATCAAAAGTGCAGTTAGCTCTGCAGGCCAGACAGCAGTCCCTTTCTCTTTCCTAGAAGACTTTTTCAGACAAGTCTTATGATTTTACTGGACAAAGACTCTGAAGTTTGAATCTCTCTGCGTAGCTCTTCTTAATTTGTTCAATTAGGAGATCAGCCCCATCATTTCCATCTGCGGTCTGCCTAAGTAGAAATATATTATTTTACAGGGGGGAAGAAAGACTTAAAATAGCAAAAAATAAAAGCATCTGGAAACCTCACATTAAATCTAATACCTATTAACCACACTCATAGTGTGAAATGAGCATGTGAACAGTACAGGATGAAACAGAGATGTTTATTTGTGTTGCCTATACTACGTGTACAGACTAGAACATTACCTTGTCCAGCATATTCAAAAGAATCTGCTTCATCAGGAGTGTCAAGGTCATCGACGTTGATGTCTATTTCATCCGGTGTATCCAAATTTTCATCAGAAAGTACAGACCCTTCACTCTGGTCCAAAGAGAGATTGATATTTGGAGCTGTGAGCTTTATTCTTCTGGGATGGGAGCCATTAAGATCAAGAGAATTGGGAGGTTCTGAAAAAAGAGGAAGGAAAAACAAACTTTATCTCCTCCGCATACCAGTCATCTCCAAAATACTTAGGAAACACCTTCAAATATGCTGGAACTGAGCAATTTTAGTAACAGCAACCATTTAAGGCCATCTGATATAAAACACTAATATCACATATTAACGCTTAAAAAAATAAAAGAAACATCTACAGAAATGGCAGGTGTAGCAGAGGCTCTTAAATTATGTAGCGTCCAGATTAGATATCTTTATAATTATCAGCAAAAAAGCAAGCTTCAGAAGCAAAAAACAAAGCTTCAGACATGCTTCTGAACGACAGTATTTGAATGTTTAAAGAGTAAATCATTCGAGCCTTGAACAAATACATCGCTGAATGCGTGAGAAATTCATACCAGTGCAATGCTCCTGTTAAGTATCTGTTTTGTTATGCACTTGCTGCTAATCCAGCAGTGCTGATTTGCAAGTAGGATCCTATGTCTCTAGTCTAAGCTATATGGTATGATATTCAGTACAGTAACAAAAATAAAAATACCTTTGAGCCTCATAATTGGTCTTAAACAAAAACAATCTTCAATAAGACAAAAGTTAGGTACGGCTTTGCCACTTGTCACTGCATGGTGTGCCACATTTTAAGTTGTTCAGTTTGAATTAGTATATTCTAATGCTAGTTCAGTTCACTAAGACTGTAGTCAAATGTACGATAAACAAGACTACTTAAACAGCGCAAGAACTAAACAGAAGGATGGAAACAACCCCCCCAAAAAAGATGGCACATCACAATTTTCATTTGTCAAGTGAAGAACAGAATTAACTAAATAAAGCAAATCCAGCACTGTTTCTTTTTAACACCAATTCCTTAACAGCACAGAAACATCTCACCTCATAATTAAATGCCAACAGAAGGAGATCTAATTAAGACAATGAATAAGAGCGTCTCTTACCAGGTCTCACTTCTGTAGATCTGGGGCTTAACACACCCTCAGCAAAGGGGATGTCCATTCCCACATTCTCTGGTACCAATCTGAGAGGTAAAACATAAAGCAAAATCTTAGATACACACGAGTTGACCAGGCTTTCAAGATAACTCATGTGATCTTAGATGGCACTCAGTTTCTCCTCAATATATCCAGTTTAAAAGTCTAATCACAGATTAATGTAAGCGAGAACCAAAAACAGCTGTTGTAATTCTGTCATGTAGTTCTTATCCACTTATGTACCCACGTGCCTGCAGAGACTTTGGAGACCACAGGTCTCCAGAATAGGTCCACATAGCCACTCTCTTTCGGATCAAGACAGCACTTAATAATAACAGGCTGGCTACCAGCAATGTTTCTCTTTCTACACAAATTAAGTTGATCTTTTGGCATCCGGAAAACACGGCACAAGGTTGCAGGAAGCTTCAGTTATTCTCCACAAGCTGCACACCACAGTAAGAGTAATACTATTTTAATTCCTGTATATACAGTTACTGCATAGCGAAAATCAGATCATAAGGTTTTTCATTCTTTTGACATCATTTGTACTTTAGAGTAATTCTGACCCAAATTAGTCATTTTGCAATACTGAAGAAGTTGATGTCCTGCATTGAAAAAGTGCAGGAAATACAGAAATGAGAATCAAAACTACATTAAAGAGTTTCAAAGGCTACAATGTTGCAAAATATTCCACCTAGATTACATTTTTAGGAATATACCCAAGAATTACATTAAACATACCGATATATGACAAATTAAAGCTATTAAGAGGTGAAAAAGATTACAAAGGTGTTTGAATATTTAAAGTAATTAACTTAATTACTTTAAACCATAAAAAATAATTGACTTACTTAAACTCTTTTCATGCTTATTTTCTATTCAAATATTTTACAAAACGCTTGCTGGAGAAAGGTTCGACTGTGTATAATAAACAACACTTTATAGGACACAGTTGACAGATTCAAAACTATTTTTACTACAAATGCATGACTCCCAAAACACTTTGTTTTAAATTACCTAAACAATTATAGCATTTTTCCTGTACTTCCATTCCACACTCTTTATATTTAAAAATACAATCAGACAGTTGAAGATCAGACAGTTTTTGCACTTCTGTAACAGTTGTGATGACAGTAACGTAGGTACTTTTCTCTGCCACAGCATCAGCTAATTCAGCTGAATGGGTGGTCAGTCGGAATTGGCTTGGCTTGGCTCTCTTGCACCTCCTTCTACCCCAACTTTCCTCATAAGGACTACCCTATGTTAATGCATTCAGGCAAGAATCCTATGGCCTATCATTGCATCAGAGTATGAGCAGATTTTCTGGGATTTCTTGTTAACTGCAGATTTATATGTAAATGTACGCATACAGCCCTAAAGTGAGCTGAAAGCTTCTCTGTATTAGAAGCTGCAAAAAAACCTTTCCCTCTGTCAAGCCGTGTACCATCAAATTCCCAATGCAGACAGGCAAACTAGTCAACTCCCATCTCCCTTGTGAGGCCACAGATAGTACAGATACTATAAGGCTAGGATCAAACATATTTGGACTACACAAATGTCATGGCCAGGCCTCATCTCTCAATTAAAATGAACACACATTAATCATGCTGACTTTACTAGATTTACCCATAAGCACGGTAGAACACATCTTTCACAAATATACAGACTAACTGCGTAATGATGTCTACAAAACATACCAATTCCAGAATGTGTCCAATTATTGTCAAATAAGGTTTACAGTATTCTTTCTTTTTGGATACATGGTAAAGAAACTTGATCAAAGCATCCTCCTCATGAATAAAATGAATGGCATAAATTGCCTGTAATTTACCAGTTCCTTTTGTTCTACCCTTTAGCATCATCTGTGTTCAGAAGCTATACAGAAAACTGATACACAGAATATCATCACAATTTACTTAGAAAATGTAAACAAATCATTAGAGTCTTCGACTCTTTCTGGTGTCTGTCCAATTCATAGTAAAACATGTATAATAAAGTCTAATTTATCCTTCTGAACTTAGCAGAGACAAAGCTGAATTCTAATGACAAGTGCTGCTATTAGTAACAGATGGATAAGTTAAGGCCTTAAGAAAGAAAATGTAAGAAATCATTGTGGTGGAAATAGTATGGGGAGAGGATGAATACTTCTAATGCATTTTAAATTCAGATTACGATTTTACCTTGGGCTTTCTTAACCTTTCTAAACGTAAAAACATACACCTGAATATGAAAATTTCTCAGATTACAGCAGTTCAGCAATACTCAGATGATGACCTACGGGTGCTCAAGTGTTTGAATATTTTAGCCAGATGGAAGGGGTTATTGATATTAACATACAAAGAACTCATTTATAAAATCTCTTGAATTCTCATCCCACCAAAAGACAATTCCTTCCTGTACGAGCTTCAAAAATCACTACAGAAACGAGTTCAAAAGGAAATGCTCTTTTCACACAGTGCATGAAGAGTGAGCTATACGAGGAGGGTGAACACTAAATTCAAAAAAATTACTGTTTTTGGAAATCTCAGCAATAAGAAATATTTGTAAAAATGCATATTACTTAAAATTAGCTCACTGTATTAAAAAGAGACAGTATTTTCTGCAGTCTGCCTGTAAAAATGTTTGAGTAGAACAAAGATCATCACCTTGTCTGATAAGGGCATGACTGGGTTTTACATATGCTATCTTTACAGAATCAGTGACATCATCATCTATAAAAGCAATTTGCCACAAGTAATTCATTCAGTATTTCCTATGAATTGCCTAAAATTCTAGTAATGCCTGGGAGAGAATTATCTCAAGTCATGACGCTGCCAGGACTGCCTCAGAATTTTCTCCCTGTGGCAGCCTTATCTTTTTTAAAAAAGCACGTATGCATTTGCAGCTGATATTGCTGCTTTCTCTAGAACATCTTCCACTTTCATGAGACACATTTCAAGTGTTTTTCTGGTTTCAGTGGGAATAGTACAGTTGAGTGCAGATCAGATATTTCAAATTAGATGTACGTTCCCAAGAATAGTGCAATTCTTGGGGGGCAAAAGATAAGTTTGTTTCATATCCTTTGGTTTGGACCTCTCCTGAAATATAGCTACTGCTACAGGCAAAATACTCAAAGAATACCCCTCGCTCAGAGATTATAAGCAAACAAAATGAGGCTTTGTCTGAGAATCGCTAACTTTTTTTTGGTGGTTCAGTATTTTTAATGTCAATAATCCGTATCTTTCATATTGGGATATTTTGATTTGTGAAGCAAGAGGCTGTGGTCCTGAAAGATCTGGGACAAAGCAGGCAGCTCAAAGTCAGTCCAAGCTCAGTTACAAAAGGACTGTTGACATAAGGTCAGCTTTTATTTTCAATCACCTTTCAGCAAAACTGATTTTCAACATTACACCACGCTTTTTTGCCAAGATTAGATTTATTCTTTTTTTTTTTTTTTTTAAATCATGTCAGGTTCTTATTTACTGTAAAGCAAACAGTCAACGAGATTTTAAGGGGAGAAGTTAGAAAAACAGCTCTTGCATTAGTAATATTTTTCTAGATTCTTTGTGCAGTGCCCAAACAGATTAAAGAAATACAAATTCTGCTATGTTCAGTGAAAGTTCATGTTTCTAAAAACCTATGACTAATACTTGTTCAGTCATAAATTAAGAGACAATGTAGATATCTTTCAAAGCTGGTGTTTTGAAATAACAGGTTTAGTCCGCGGAAGGTATGGCTTATGTTACGCTGTACCTCAAGATATGTTGTCCCTTACATCACTCCTCAGACTCCCCACCACTGTGAGAATGAGTAAGATAACGGACAAAATTTGTTTCCTACAGCCACTGCTCCCCATTTTGAAAGCAATTTTGTGAGCGTATTAATGCTGAGGTGCTCAAAGCCTAGCAGAGAAACTTCTGGCTGTGCATTAGCCGGGAGAGCACCAGGTTGCAACAGATTTTAGTAGCAATTCTAGTAATGAAGGATGGATTCTAGAAACTTAAATTTCAGCAACTATCTCCTCCTCTTTCTTTACCCACAGATTACTTCACAGACTCCCAAAATTGTGGCTTACAAAATTCCTTGCCAGGAATACAGGTGCAATTCATGTCCTGCATGATATGGCCAAAAGTATTAGAAGAAGAGAACACTTCTTTTTTTTTCCTTTTAGTGAATGCTCCTTGTTGAAGGAGTAAATTAAGTTGTCTTAGAAAGCTCAATTCTAATCAGGTATGATTTACTGTATTGATTTAAAAAAAAAAAAAAAAAAATCTTTCACTTGAAACAGAGGTCAAAGTAAAATAAGCTTTTTTTGTCATAAATGACTTCTTTTATGCAGCACACAGACCATCATTCAAAGAGCAGCTGCACTGGGAATCAGGTTACTGCATATTTGCTTTGATAATTCAGGTCTACATACTTGTTCAGAAGTAGCTAAAAAAACCCTGTTTCTCAAAGGCGGTTCAGAGCCAGACACCAAATTCTTACAAAAACAAGGAGGAAAGACAGAGCTGAGGCTGAAAGGCTGCTTGCCTTTTTTTTGAGGCAGACATTCTTAAAGCTCAATGAATTAATAACCGTTATATACTTTTTAGTGCTCACCCAAGTCAGTAGCTCTCAGAATAAAAATGATGCTTCTTGACTTTTCTAGATATAGCTGCACTCTGCTATTTTGGAAAAAGCAACTCTGAACATATGCAGCAATATGTCATAATCCCTATGGGCTGCGCTGCCTCACCCTTGTGTCATATGTGATACATCAGCAGTTTCCAAGTTATATTCTTTATTCCAAAACTTCAAGCAAGTCATCTCTCCAGTGTGTTACTCTGAATGAGCACCTACCTACAGCCTGCTACTGCAGGTGACTCACCTCTCTGAAGTGAATCTCTCTACTCCAAACCAGCATTAACTCACTGGCTGGCTGGACTTTAAATTTTACATACTTCTCTGGCTTCTGCATTCACTAATAAAAAAGTTTAATCTAAAGTGGAGCCTATAGCTCCAAATAATATTTCCTAAATGAGTAAATCATGTTTCTTCCATGCCTTTTCCTCCACACCTAGCAACA